TGGGGAAATGGAAAGGAAACCCTGAATTTGGCCTATGCAAGCCACACATATATGTTGGGCTTTATTGTAGGTACTGCACTGTCTTAGAAGGGGCCCAGGCATGGGAACATGGAAGAGGGGCACTGGGATCAGGGGATGTTGGAGGCAGCTTCCTGGAGGATGCATTTGAGTTGTAGGAGTTGACTTAATGAATCGGGGGACAAGAGGTTCCAAGTATGTATTTTGGTTTTATTTGCCACAGGGCTTCATTTGTATACATACATGATATTATGAGTAATTATAGTCGTTGTATCTTATTTTATTACCCAGTTGAGGTCCTGGGATTTTATTTTTATACCCAAAGGGCGCGCGGTCTTTGAAAAGTTTGAGAAAAAAATGCTGTGTGTCAGCCAAGCCCTTGTTGCTTCAGAGGTCAGAGATGGGAGGTCAGCCACACAAAGCCTGCCCTTAAAGTCTCTGCCTCTCCGGGCCTCTTGGCACTTCCGGCACCTCTTCCTGCTAAAAGGGCAGACCAGAGTGGGTTACTGCATAGAAGGGGTTAAAACAAATGGTTCCCCAAAGCCTGCGCCCTGGCGTGTGCACCAAGCCCGAGCGTGTGTCATGGGATCGGGCATCTGGTCTACCTGTGTATCCTGCTGATTGAGGCATGTGGCCTGGGGGTGACAAGGCTGCTGGTGATCCCTCCGTGAAGACCGACTGTGGGATCTGTTGGAGAATGGAAGTATACAGAGCAGAGCACTTAGCTGGAGGCAGCCCGGCATGTCAGGGCTACTTCAGAGCAGGGGCTCACATCTAGACCTTGCAAGAGTACTGGTTCCTTGTCCTTTCCGCTTCCACTGTTTGTATGCGTTCAAGTATGTGACATAGTTTCTGCCAACCGAGCATCCAGCAGAGCCTCTCTCTACCACCACGCCCTGGGAGGGGTGTTGAGGAGGCCAGTGAATACAGTGCAGTCCTGCCCCTGGGGTAGCTGACAGTTCTGCGTGGTCCTCCTGCAGATGGCCAAGGGGCCTGACACGACATGTGCCTTCTGGGGACCCTCTGCAGATAGCTGGAGTGTCTCGGAGTGTCCCCACCATCCTTGCGAACCACATGCTGACACTGCAGCATGCCAGCCCTGTCCTTGGTGTGGGATTATTTGCAGTTAGTATTCCAAATGTCAAGTTCCCCTTGACTTGATCTGAGCAGACGAAACAAAATGGCAGACAGATTAGAAGGGGCTTGAGAAGCCTTTTCGGATTTGAAAACCTTCCTTTGTTGACTTTGAGAAGCTGCTGAACCAGGCCAGTCTGCAGAGGCAGGGACATCTGCCAGGTGCCCATGGGCTCTCTGGGCTTGGGAGGCTCTGGCTGGTGCTGGCTTTTTTCCTCCAGGTGCCTGGCAGCTGGGGTGCCCACTGAGCTTGGGCAGGAGTTGAATCCAGTTCCTTCTTGTTAGTGCCCCCAGAGCAGGAGGGGAGGTGAGGAGCTGGGGCCTCTGAGGGCTTTAGGGCAGGTTTGGGTGGGTCCCCGAAGACAGGGGGCCATGTCAGGCAGTATCTGTTTAATCTAGACTTGTATTTGCCTGCCTGCTGCGAAGACCCAGTAGGTAAAAGGGAACTCGATGGCTTACTGTATTGCAGTTCCTCTGAATGTCTGGGGAAAGGTTTAAATAGTGCTCACCAAAGACGTGGACGTTCCTGGCTAGAACCCGGGTATCATTGCTAGAAGAACCTTAGGGATGGTCCCCTTCATTCCCTCCCTTCTGCAGTTGTGGTAGCTGAAGCTCAGAAAGGTTAAGTAATCTGCACAAAGCCACACAGGAAGCAGTGGAGCTGGAATTTGAGTAGTCTGTCCGGCTCTAGTGCTCGTACTTGTCCCATGATGTCACATTGGCTCTTGCTCCCAGTCCTCCCTTCTCTGAGACTCATTTGTCCTGCCCTTCCCCCAACTGCTTCCTTTTCCTGCCTGCATTCCCCAGGAATCCCTCTGCGGGTGCTGCTTCATCCAGTTTCGGAGAAGTACGAAGAACCGGAGGGCTGAGTGAGAACCCAGCCCCCAGCCGCTTCCCTACCACCTTCCAGGGTACAGAGTGCTCGTCCTACAGGATTGTGCATGTATTCTTGTCTGCTGAGGACAGGCCAAGATGAGTTTCCCTCCTCGTTGGGCCATTCAGCATACCAGAAAGGGTTTGTGGAATTGCTATGTCTGACCTCAGGGGAGATAGACTTTAAATGGCGCGAGGCTCTGCAGACTGTGGCCGGGCAAGTTTTAAGTCTGGCCGGACACCTGATCTTAAACCCTATCCTTCAATCTGCCTCGGTGCCCTGCAGCCACTGCAGGACAGATTGCATAAAGTTTCTCTTGCCTAAAGGCTTTTGACAATGGCCCGCAGTCTCTGGACCCAGAGACCGAGAGGTAGTTTTCGCTTTTCTCTCCTTTTCTTTGCACACTTACGCACAAATGCCTTTTGTCCCCAGGAAATGCAGCTTTCTCAATCCCCATCCTGGAAATATCAGCGGAATGTAATAAATCTGATTTGTGTTTATGTTGAAGAAATGAAACACATTTCTGGGGAGGAATGCGGTGGAGGCCTTGAGAAGGGGCTGTGTGAAAGCGTGGTACTCCCCCTCCTTCCTGATAGGACTCTGGTAATAAGAGCTGTCTCCTGTGTTCTGCTGTTGGGCAAACAGAAGGCAGAGCTGGCCAGGGCCCCTCACAGCTGCGGCTGTCACCTTCTCAGTTCCCAGAGTCCGGCTTCTCTGGACCCTGTACCTTCTCGGGGATTGCAGTTCTTCTGGGGACAGCGCCCCCGTGCTGGTTGAGTCAGAGCTGATTAGCGAATCCTCCCCGTTCTCATTCCAGGTTGAAAACAACAGGATGAAATTTAATAGGCATAAATGTAAAGTCCTGTATGTGGATTCAAAAAAAAAAATCAACTTCACAGGCACAGGACAGGGAAGCTTCATGTGAACAAGCGAGCGAGAAAGTGACCCTCGGCTGTACCTGACAGTTGGTTCTGCGGGCCAGCGGTTGGCCGTCGATAAAAGAGAGTAATGCAGGCTCTCTGAACAAGGATCACGTCCAAAAGGAGGATGATGATGTTGTTGTTAATGATTTGTAATAGTAGCTAGTGCTTCACATGCATTATCATTGCACCCTTAAAATCATCCTTTGAGGTAGGGCAGAGGATCCCCTGTTTTGGGAAGAGGCAACCCAGGCTTGGAAGATTAAGTTACTTGCCCAGCGTCACACTGCAAGGAGGTGGAACCCAGA